CTCGCTTATCCAACATAAATGAGCTGGCTGAACGTTGGATAAGTGAAAATGTTGGATAATAAGGAGGGATTAAGGAAAAACTTATTAAACGACAAATTACGTTATGATTTTACAAATAAAGCACAAAACATCATGTTTTACAACAAATTGACAGAAAAAGCAGTTCAATACACAGTAAGTTATGTAGTAATTATTGTATTTACGAATTTAGTACCAAAACATCGCAATGTATTGAAACAGCTGTGGATCCGGGCGAGAGGCAGACTGCATTAGATAATACAGAACATTGGATGAGCGAAGATTGGATAAGCGAGACTCTACTGTTTCTGCAAAAACAATATTAGAGCAGGATAGCTTTCTTTCCTACTGCATCTTCAGAACCATTACAGGATTGCAGCAACAGTGTGGGCTAAAACTGTGAGACACACTGTTTTTGGACTAACTGTCCACTACTTCCTCATAGACATTATCCCTGCCCCTTTTCATTGTTTGGAAAACATGCGCACAGAGAGATGTATAACACACCATGGCAATATAGCACTGCTCTTTTTTCAATTAGCTTCCAGCACCAGCAACCTTTTTGCACTCATGCACCGTGAAAAATGTTCTGTGGAAGATGGTGGCTTTTTGGTGTCACAGTTCCAGGAGGAGTGAGTGGTGAAGAAACATCCCAATTCGATATCAAAAGTAAACTTTTGGGTCTTGACATTTTTGTCAGTGTTTGCAGCATTACAGATGCAGTATTTCTGTTTGCTTCAGTTGGTGAGATCAAAAGTGAAAAATATCAGATGTGTTCTAGATGTGTTCTAGCAATGCTGTTATGTAGTAATTATTGTATTTACGAATTTAGTACCTGAACATGTGAGGAGGACACTCCCCAAGAAGGTCCAGGGCTTCTTAGAAAGAGGGCCCTCCTCCTTCTTTAGCTTTGCATCACTTTTCCACAGGGAAAGAAACCAATAAAATGATAAAATAAAAATCACCTGAACATTGCAAAAGTTGCCTTCCTCCCCATTGTTTGATCGTCAGAACTGCTGACCGTGAATAGAGGTACATATAGAAGTTATCCAGCAGAGTTCAAGCTGAGGAGTAGTTTTCTGTGAATGAGAACTTGGTGTGCAATTGGTGAAAAGTTAAAGACAAGTTAGAAAAACCACCTTACAGGTCCCAAAACGGGCAAGTTTCTACACATTGATACGGAAGTGTTGGTGCATACGAGGGAAATGTGTGACAATGGCTGCAGTGTATCCTATGAGATGAGGTCCAGGAACTCTCTGAGTGAGACTTTTAATCTGACTGAGAACTGTTGTGGCCCCTCCCTAAACCAAAACCCAGAGTTCTGTAGGAGATGGCATTGGGTTTTAAAGTGAGGTTCAAAGCAGAGGCATGCAAACAATGCAGTGGGGAGTCAAATGATCAGCTTACCAGGCATGGGAGGTTCCCTCAACCATCTCCAAGGAGTGGCAGGGCAGCTGCAAGGACAATGGGGTTGAACTGGATGGCTTTTGGGGTTTCTTCTAATTATAGGATTCTATGAGACCCTGAAGGAAGCAAGAGTGAGGTGGAGGTGGGTGCATTTCAGGCGCATGGCCCACTCTGCAACCTTTTAACTTGGAAGTATGAACTGGCCACTCAGGCAGAAAACAAGCATTCCGTAATGGCTTGAAAAAATTTGCTCTACATCTTTCACTATCAAATATTCAGCCAAGATACAATTCTTTATGTAAAAACAAACAAGCACACCCATCTCAAAAGTATTAAAACTGTTTTTCATCTTTAATAATGATAACATTTTACGTCTACAAAGAATGATTTAAAAATCATTTTCTTTATCATTTATAATTAGTACATTCTCTAGTTCTTTGCCTATGTTATATGTCTATATACCCGGGGTCTTGCAAAAAATTCATTTAGAGGTGCAGAGGTTCTCTACTGCTGTACAACAGCCTTCTTCAAACATGCCCCCCACATCATGCCAGCTAAGCATGCTGTGAATTGGAGTCAAACACATTAAAGGGTGGAGAGATTGTGCCAATCAGAGAAGACAATAGTAAGCCAGATGGCAGAACATAATGCATCTCCATAGATAATACATGAAAGACACAATTAATATTAACAAAAAAGCTCGCATGAAGACCTAGCCTTGTTGACCTAGCCTGTTATGTGTACATTTATGCTTTTGGTAAACACTGCATTTGTTCTTAAGCAATGCACCACTATTGTGTGTTAGAGCCACTCCTCCATATCAAATTTGCCCTGACTATTTGTGGAACTTTCATTGGGAGAAATAAACTTTATTGAGATTTAACAAGAGTAGCTGACAATCCACCTGCTCTGTTGCTGCTTTTGACTGCAGATTTTATGTTTTCACTGCTGAAGTTCTGTATACGTTTGGTTATCTATACTGGAGGCCAACAGATTCATATGCTAACCTTCCTGCTTAAATTTCTGTGGGAGACCTCTTTAAACTTGGGTTAAAGAACAGTTTTATTTTGGTGGCTATACTATATCTCAGTGCTAGTTTCCCCAGAGTGAAAACTTTTAATAGGTATGCAGCAGAGGTAATTTCAGGAGGTGTTACTTGGGTTGCTATCATCCCAATGGGCTTCTTCTGTACCAAACCATGCCACATTATTGTAGCTAAAATACTAGAAATAATAATAATCATCATCATAAAACTTTATTTATATCCTGCCACCATCTCCCAGAAGGCACTAGAAGCGGCTTACAAAAGCACGTAGCAGCGCAGTAAAATATACAAGATACAGTAAAAATACATAAATATTTATAAAACAATTATGATGGCAGTTTACATAAAACCAATATAGACAAAATAACACATAAAACCCCCATTGATTTAAATAAGATATTCAATAAAACACAGCAATGGGTGCGGATTTAAAATAGGCCGTATCAATATCAGTCACATAAAGTGCCAGAGTGAAACAATTCACTAGGTCCTCAAGTTTTAATTTATGGAGTTCTAATCATGTTTGAAGAGCTATGTATCCAAGGGCCAACCAGACCAACCCTCACATGTATGTTTATATCTATCTAACAAAACACACAATAGCATATCATCCACACTAGCTTCCGGACTACAGCTCCCAGCATCCCCTTGACCAGGCCATTTAGGAGAGGGGGATGATCCAAATGCACTGCTTCCAAGATGCAAGCTTTCTTCTCCTTGGATTTGAGAGCATCGCAATCCCTTCATATGTCCAATTTCCTATTCCTGGACTGCAACTCCCATCAATCCTCCAGATAGCTAGATTAGATAGAGATAAATAGGTAGGTAGATCGATCGAGGATTGCTGGGAGTTGCAGTCCAAGAATAGGTAGAGAAGGAAGAACGAGGAGAAAGAGGAATGGAAAGAAAAGGGAGGAAGGAAGGGAAGAGGAAGAGAAGGAAGGGGAGAAGGAAAGAGGAAAAAAGGGAAGAAGAGAAAGAAAGAAGGAAAGAGGGAGGGAAGGTTGGCCACAGAAACACGTGACGGGTACAGCTAGTCTATATAAATAAAAATATAATGTTCGTTTGTGGGATTAACAGAACTCAAAAACCACTGGCCGAATTGACACCAAACTTAGACACAATGTACTTATCAGGCCAACAAGTGACTATCACTCATAAAAACACTGAAAAACACAGCAGAATAGACTTTAAAAGCAAAAAACCCCCAACAACATTACAATGCATGCACAAAACCACATATATACACATATACACACATATATATATATACACACACACAACACATATACACAGACTGGGCAGGGGATGGCTAGTAAATAAATAAATACACTGTAAAATCTATGCAATTTGACACCACTTAGAATCATAGAATCATAGAATGTATTGTCGAAGGCTTTCATGGCCGGAATCACTGGGTTCTTGTAGGTTTTTTCGGGCTATATGGCCATGTTCTAGAGCAGTGTTTCTCAACCTTCCTAAAGCTGCGACCCCTTAATACAGTTCCTCATGTTGTGGTGACCCCCAACCATAACATTCTTTTGCTACTTCATAACTGTAATTATGCTCCTGTTATGAAACATAATTTGGGAGTTGTAGTTGTTGGGATTGATGGTTCACCTACAATCAAAGAGTATTCTGAACTCCACCAACGATGGAATTGAACCAAACTTGGCACACAGAATGCCCACGGCCAAAAGAAAACACTGGAAGGGTTTGGTGGGCATTGACCTTGAGTTTTGGAGTTGTAGATCACCTACAGAGAGCACTGTGGACTCAAACAATGATGGATCTCCACCAAACTTGGCACGAATACTCAGTATGCTAAATGTGAACACTGGTGGAGTTTGGAGAAAATAGGCCTTGGCATTTGGGAGTTGTAGTTGCTGGGATTTATAGTTCACCTACAATCAAAAATCATTCTGAACCCCACCAATGATAGAATTGGGCCAAACCTCCCACACAGAACCCCCATGACAACAGAAAATGCTGTGTTTTCTGATGGTCTTTGGTGACCCCTCTGGCACCTCCTGGTGACCCCTCCAGGGGTCCCGACCCCCAGGTTGAGAAACACTGTTCTAGAGGCATTTCTCCTGACGTTTTGCCTGCATCTCTGTTTAAAAGCTTCCAAAGAAGGAGCCTCCACCACACTCCAGGGCAGAGAGTTCCACTGCTGAACAGCTCTCACAGTCAGGAAGTTCTTCCTCATGTTCAGATGGAATCTCCTTTCTTGAACAGTTATAGCTCAATGCTATGAACTCCTGGGAGCTGTGGTTTGGGGAGCCATCAGCTCTCTTTGGCAGAGAAAGCTAAAAAACTCCAGGATTCCATAGCAGGGAGCCATGCCAGTGCAAATGCTATTAAGCTACATTAAAACTAAACTGTATATGCCTTTCAGACTTCTACCTGTCCCTCTCCGCCAATGGAAACGCTCCATTTCCAGCAGGCGGGACCAGAGGGGGATTGTGGGCGGGGCCATATGCGATTGTGGGCGGAGTTACCTCGACGCCCCGCCCCTCTCTTCCCACGCTGCCGCTGGAGCGCTGGAACCCACTCGCGCCAAGGCAGCCGAGGAGGAGGCTCCTTTTCCAGGTGAGTCTGGAGCAAGGACGCGGGCGGAAGGCGTTAAAATAGCATTTCTTTGCGGGAGGACCTTGGAAAGCCTCGGCTGCGTTTGCCTCTTGTCAACCCAGGTAAGCATTGGGCAGATCTTGCCTTCTGTTGATTGACAGTCCGGTTTGTTGCTGTTGTGGTTGTGTTGTGACCCCTTGGTGACCCCCAAGGAGTCGTTTTGCCTGATCCTTCCTCTGAAATAGAGCCTCACTAAGGCACCTGGTTAGTGTTGCGTGGGTGGTCTCCCATTCAGGCACTAACCAGGGCTCACCCTGCTTAGCATCCAAGAGAAACAATACCAAAAGTGCATCTACATCAGGCATTGGCAAACTGGGGCCCTTCAGGTGTTTTGGACTCCAACTCCCACCATTCCTAACAGCCTCAGGCCCCTTCCTTTTCCCCCTCAGCCGCTTAAGCTTAAGGGGGGAAAGGAAGGGGCCTGAGGCTGCTAGGAATGGTGGGAGTTGGAGTCCAAAACACTCGGAGGGCCCAAATTTGCCCAAGCCTGATCTGACACATCTTAAATTGCCATAGTTCAATGCACAATCTTGGCAGTTGTAGTTTTACAAGGTCTTCAACCTTCTCCAGCAAGGACTGCTGGTGCCTCATCAAACTACAACTACCCTGGTTCAGTGCTATGGAATCAAGTGGTCTGGATCACAAGCCTGAAAGTCCTGGTAAGCCAAGTCGGCACTTACTGCATTGTCAAAAACAGGCTACGTTACAAGGGCTGGAAACATGAGCCTTGGAATTGTATAATTCATGAAAGCCGGTGCCTGAGAAAAGTGTTGCTTTATTTCTTATTTTTTACTTTTTGGAATCCTTTGAAATAGAAACAGGTTGAAGTGCAGTATTGCACAACTTCACAATTAGGGGTGCGTCTACACTGTTGAATTAATACAGTTTTGACATCGCCTTGACTACCGTGGCTCCTTGCAATGAACAATGGGAGTTGTGGTTTTACCACACTGTGTAGGCTCCAATTTGTGAGTGTATCAACACTGTAGAATTAGTGCAGTTTGATACCACTTATTGCACTTATATATTGTATTGTGTGTTTACTTGTATTATTTTTGGTATTATTATTGTCATTATATTTTATTGCTGTATTTTATGTTGTATATTTGCTTGGTTGTACTTGTTGGGGTTGGCCCCTTGTAAGCCGCCCCGAGTCCCCTTGAGGAGATGGTGGCAGGGTATAAATAAAGTTATTTTATTATTATTATTATTATTATTATTATTATTACTACTACTATTATCATTTATTACTTGAACTCAATGCTATGGAATCATGGAAGCTTCAGTTTTACAGTGTTATTAGTGTGTTGTTAAAGGCTTTCATGGCCGTAATCACTGTGAGTTTTCTGGGCTGTATGGCCATGTTCCAGAAGCATTCTCTCTTGACGTTTTGCCCATATCTATGGCAGGCATCCTTTGAGGTTGTAAGGTCTGTTGGAAACTAGGGAAGTGAGGTTTATATATTTGTGAAATGCATGGCCATAATCACTGTGAGTTTTCTGGGCTGTATGGCCATGTTCCAGAAGCATTCTCTCCTGACGTTTTGCCCATATCTATGGCAGGCATCCTTTGAGGTTGTAAGGTTTGTTGGAAACTAGGGAAGTGGGGTTTATATATTTGTGGAATGTTCAGGGTGGGAAAAATAACTCCTGCCTGCTTGAGACAAGTGTGAATTTTGCAGTTGGCCACCTTGATTAGCATTGAATGGACTTGCGGCTTCAAAGCCTGGCTGCTTCCTTCCTTGGGGTATCCTTTGTTGGGAGGTGTTAACTGGTTCTAATTGTTTCCTAATTGTCCAGACAAGAAATTGCCTTATTTGTTTCTAATTGTCCAGACAAGAAACATTTAGGGCCAGATAATGCCTCCCAACTAAGGATTTCCCAAAGCGGGGTGCAGCCAGGCTTTGCAGTTGCAAGTAATCGAGGTGGCCAATTGCAACATTCTCACTTGCCTCCAATAGACAATAGTTCTTTCTCCCACCCTGGACATTACACATATAAAGGTCACTGGCTTAGTTTCCAACAGGCCTCAAAACTTCAGAGGATACCTACCATAGATGTGGGCAAAACATCAGGAGATAATGCTTCTGGAACATGGCCAGTGATAGCCTGGAAACCTCACAGCAATCCAATGTCATTAGCCTTCCCTAGCAAAAAGTCCTGGTGCATTACTAAATTGCAGCTCTCAGAATTCTATACCATTAAGCCATAGCAATTAAAGTGGTGCCAAACTGCATTAATTCAACAGTGTAGATGCACCCCAGGCAGCTGTTGGGTTTTTCTTTGCCTGCTGAGGAATTCTGCTGCCTCCAGAGGGTGGTTTGTTCTTTCGCTAAAGATATTTGCCACACTCTTCTTTGGCCAAGGAGTTTAATTATTACCTGCTTACCGCAGTTATAATTATGTAACCCATTTTCTTCTCAGTGGCGCTTGTTCGAAAATAAGTTCCCTGGGAATCAGTTGGAGCGGTTTCTAAGAAAAGAGGTATTGCATTGTGACTTTTCCCCACAAAGGTGGAACTAAAAAAAATACATCCGGCATAGGAGGGATGCTGGGTTTTCAGAGCCAAAATGTGGGTGGAAGAAGAAAAGTTGAATGCAAATCTGGGCATAATAAAAATAAATATCCTGGCCTCATAAGAACAATTGTGTGATTGTGGCAATTGTTTGGCATGCTGCAATCCAGTAACACTGGAGGTCCTCTTGATCCCTGTCTTGGTCTTAGATTGTTGACAGATAGAAGGTACATTGGGATCTATTGGTTATTTACTGTACCTGGTCGAAGTTTTTCCTATTCCTCTTGCCTCAATTATAATAAAAGCTCAAAAGAATTCCCCAGAGACAAGTCTTGTGTGAGTCACTTATCTGTCAAGCTGAATGTTCTTCGCCGCTAGCATAAATCACATTTAATCATATTTTCGAGGGGTGCTGTTTGGCTAGCTAGCATTCCAGTAGTTGTCTCAAGGATCCTTTCAAACAATCTAGGCCTTTGACCATTTAATGCAGTTTCAAACCGGTGTACATGATTACATAGGAAACCCTTGAACCAGTTTGAGGCCTGGATAGTGATTGCACAAACCACAGAACGCTGATATACATTAAGGGCTTTCTTTTGCATGGTTTTGTGGGAGTTTGATCTCTGACCACCACAGTTTGAGGCTAGCTTCAAACTGCATTAAATGGTTAATGTAGATGGGACTCTAGTTTTAGCATTCTGCTTTGGCAGCCATTGGAGCATCCGGTGGTGCAGCAGGTTAAACCGCTGAGCTGCTGAACTTGCTGACCGAAAGGTCGGCGGTTCGAATCCGGGGAGCGGAGTGAGCTGCTTGAGGCAAGTGTGAATTTTGTAATTAGCATTGAATGTACTTGCAGCTCCAAAGCCTGGCTGCTTCCTGCCTGAGGGAATCCTTTCTTGGGAAGTGTTAGCTGGCTTTAATTATTTCCTAATTGTCCAGACAAGAAATTGCTTTATTTGTTTCTAATTGTCCAGGCAAGAAACAATTAGGCCCAGCTTCTGCCAATCTAGCAATTTGAAAACATGCAAATGTGAGTAGATCAATAGGTACCGCTCTGGTGGGAAGGTAACGGCACTCCATGCAGTCATGCTGGCCACATGACTTTGGAGGCGTTTATGGACAACACCATCTCTTTGGCTTAGAAATGGAGATGAGCAGCACCCCCCAGAGTTGGACACAACTAGACTTAATGTCAGGGGAAAACCTTTACCTTTGGCAGCCGTGGCTGCAGTTTTGAGAACCTTGGGATTTGCAGTTTGGTAAGACACTAATATCCTCTAGAATTACCCCTTTTATACTACTTTTTATACTACACCTCCCAAGATTCCTTAGGATGAAAGGATGGCCATAAATGTGTCATCATGTAGATTTAACTATTAATCTCATCCCATGTCTGAGGCTTATCAGTATACAAGTGGTCTCCCTTGTTTTTCCCCAAACACTTCTTTGCAGATAGCTTTGGTTGGTTGTACTTGAGGTTCTACTAAAAGCAAGCAGATCCCAAAACTTGTAGCAAGGTACCAGATCCCATCTGATCTTGGAGCTAAGGAGGATCAGCCATACTCGGATGGGAGATTGCAAGCCATTTAGGGTTTTATACTTCGAAGGCACGGGACCTAAATACCCTCAAGGCACCAGATCCTGTCTAATCTTGCAAGCTAAGCAGGATCAGCCCTGGTTAGTACCTCGAAGGGAAACCGCCAATGGATACTAAGTAGTAGCAATTTTATTGATTAGCCCTTAGAAACAGAACAACAAGGCCTGACAAGACCTGATCACACTCCACGTAGAAAGTTAAAATAAGACACTTATAATAATACAGTAAATACATATGATAAGACATGATAAAACTGATAAACTGATCAAGCTGAGTATATACATCATATTTCATTATCACCCCTACAATTTACCCCAATCAACCCTACATATGTGGTTCTCAGACGTATTGTTTTGCTTAAGTACAGAGCTGTTTTATATGTTATTTTTGGGTCTTGGCCACACATAAAATATGTTGTTCTGATGTGAGAATCCCAATCAATGGATACTAAGTGCTTTAGGTGGTATTTTAGAGGAAGGAACTGGCAAAACCACCTCTGAGTATTCATTGCCTTCAGAAACCCTATAAAATTCATGGGATCTCCATAAGTCGACGGATGACTTGAAGGCACAGACACATGTAGGGTTTTATAAACCAACTGGTAGATAGTCTTCACGATGCAAAAGGGATGCTTGTTTGGACACTGAAATTGTGACACTCTTGTGGGTTTTCTGTCTCTCTATATGATAACATCTGCTTCTACTCCGCATCTAAGTAGGTTGAAGAAACATATGTTTCTCCAGCTGCATAAAAGTTCCTCAAATGTTACCTGGATAGGAAAGTCTGACTTCTGCCAGTGCATTTTGTGCCTCTGCCCATGTACTTTGCTCACAGCTAAAGATTGAATCATTCCATATATTAACTTTCCATTTTCAATTTGTGTATATTGAGGTAGAGGGCTGTGTCAGTTTAGATAATGTATTTTTTATTAGCTGTTATTTCTATGGTGGA